TAGATAGATAGATAGATAGATAGATAGATAGATAGATAGATAGATAGTTATAGATAGATAGTTATTTGTGACAGTGGGTAGTAGAAACAGTTTGAAACTGTTGGTGGAACCTGAGTTTGTTGCTTATTGTTCCCTCTGCCTTGGTGACTATGTGGAGTCCGCCTGTGACTGGTGTGGGTGTTCTGTGGTCTACTGCGGTTTGGGGTTTTACTTGTACAGAAATGAAGCCATTCATGCATTTCGAGCAGTGCATGATTCCCTGTCACATATGATGGAGTGGCTGCTTACACTGCTGGTTGAAGCCTGCCATGGTTGGCCAGCTGGATTGCTGACAATGGTGTGAAGCATTGCCTCCCTTTACACGCAACGTAAGTGTATCATTAAACCCTACTCTTGCAGACAGTCCGGTCCAACGAGATTTCGCAATGAGAGTTATTTTTAAGCGTCTCATTAAAAATGCGCGCTCTGATTGAAAGCAGCAAACACATCCACCTTATTTCTAAATGCAGGTTTTAATTGATCGGCTTGGGAATGTTTCTAAAATATGTTTGTCAAGTGATGAAGGATCATGTGCAAGTGCAGGGTGATTATCAGTGAGTCAGGGTCTGTAGCGTGGGTGGGGTGGGGGGTTGGGGGGGGTAGACATGGGGAAACCCGATGGATGAGGATTTTTGAAAGAGTGTTGCATCATCCAAGCAGGCCACCCACCAGGAAAGAGGATCTGTGGAATGCTTTTTACTCCATTTCTTTTCTTCTCTGCCCTGTTCTTCATTGCCACTGGCCTTAGACCCACGCCATTAGTGTGTGTGTGTGTGGGCATGTGTCAGAAGAGTCATCACATTTATTGCCTAGACGCAGGAGAGTGTGTATGAAAGCTGTTTGTTTTTTTGTTGCTTGGACATAGGTTTCAGTTTGTGACCATTAGTGTTGTGGCTCTTTTTTAAACTTAAAGACTAACAAACATTTACCTTCCTGACAGGCAGACCGAGCTAAACCAAATGTTCTTTGCTGGATTATGTATCCCGTTCAGGTGGACACACTGGTGGTATTTTTGATAACTCTTTCACGGTTTGCAGATCACACAGAGCTGCCAGAATCTGACAAGCAGACGAGGCTAAAGATTAAATATTTCTGTTTGGGTAAAGAGAAAAACACGGCCATATATATGTAAGTAAGCGTAACTTTGTTGCTAACTCCTAATCTCTGCCAAAGGCTACATTGGTAGCGTTCTAGAATAAACACATAATTCTCTTACTAAAATAATGTCGCTTAATTTATATAGAAAGTAAAGAAGGCGTCAGGCTGTAACATGACACTAAAATAGTGTCTTGGTGAGAGGTTCTTTGAAAAAAAGAGTCAGTATACATATTATGTTGACTGATTTTAAACAGAAGTGTTTGTGCAACACAATTGTTTTAAAAAAGGCTTGTTTTTTTTTCATTGTGTGCACTTCACGGTTACTTAAGAAGAACTTTTCCTGGTTAGAACAGGGCTGATAAGGTGGAGTGTAAGATGAGACAAAATGTAACATAAAACAAAATAACAACTCTTAAAAATGTTTATTGACTATTTCATAATTTTCATACCTGCATCTACATTGATATGTGACACTGAACAAATGCTTTGTTGATATATCAAACATGATTAAATCTAATCAGACCTTTTAGTCTGTTCATAGCTCATGTGTCTGTCTTTTGTTATTACACAATTCTTTTAGAATGGATATGAGTATTTACTGTATAATTTAAAATCTTTAAATTGTTCAACTGCTGATATTAATATGTTGATAGTAATCAGCAGAATAACTTCTGATTGAATGTGAAATCTCGTCTTGGTTTCAATGAACCCTCAATGTTTATCTTATGTACCTTGGTACTCTTAAGTGTAATATAAAACTTTTTGTGTATATTCAGTGTCGGTTTCAGTTTCCTGTTTCAATTATCCAGCAGCTTGTTACTTTGTTGTAGGATTTATAATGATCTGATGGTCAACCTGTTCATTTTTTAAAGTTTATAATCTATGAAATGGCTATTTTCTTGTAAAAGAATGACTTGGAATGAAACCAACACATGTATCTAAGATGATTACTGAAGCGGAAGTGTATATTGGACTAAACAAGTCCATAAATCTCTTGCAGGCAGCTGATAGTGGAATAAAATAAAAAAATTATAAATACAGTAAGGAGTGAGAAAAACAGAGAGAAGCAGCTCTTTCTAAGAGAGGTCATGGATGAACGCAACAGAGAGTGTGAGACTTTGAGAAATCCAGTTGAACTTTCACAAACATTGCTGAAGGGAGACACCCTGTATTGACTGTATCCACCTGCACACATATTACAGCACCAGGTATTGTAACAAATAGTTTGCATATGTGTTTGTTCACTCATTTCACTTGTAGCATGTCAAATATATTCAGCACTGTGTCCATTATTTGCTATTATCAAGGCGTGTGACTTTAATATACATGCTCTGATGGTAATCTAAGGGCAAACACACGGCACCGCACATGATCATTTGATCCTAACTGCATGTTAGTGTGCGCTTGTATGCTGATGTTGTGTCTTGGAATGAGTGTGTAGGGGTTAAACTCATCTAATGAAGGGAGGGTGCAGCCAAATAGTGATGAGAGATAGTGGGTGGGGACCTTAATGCCTCACTGATGTTAACTGTCATCCAGTTATAATGTACGGTTATAACATCTCCTACCTTATCCTTTAAAGCCTGATCTAACCAAAAATAAAAATAAATTAAGTCTTTATTTGGCCCTTCAACAAAATATGAACACAATTAACAGCAATTATGTTGAACATTCATCCTTTTTTTACTGTGATAAGTCAAAATTATTGTTATGTAGTCTTCTGCACACTGTTATCAGGTCTATCTGATTGTGCACAATAACATTCTGAGCAATGCTTTTACCATTAAATGATGCAAAAGTTCTCAGAGGCAAAACATTTCAGAAACCGTATGTATCAAACATGATACATATGGCATTATAGGGTTAAACTTCTTTCACGACTGTGTGTTACAGGGCAGCTTTGGTTTAAATTAATTGTTACAATAAGTTCTTGATATTTTAGTAAACAACCATGAGATAGGGAACAAGATGAATTCAACGTGTGGGAAACTGCCAACTTCCCACACAACTGTGCAACTTCCGCTTTGTGTTTAATTTAAGATGCTTGTTTTTTTAATTCAAAGTCATAATATCCCTGCATGTTTGTCAAAGGCTTTATTTCACACACTGTGATGGAGGAAGTATTAAGAATCTTAAGTAAAAGTCATAACATAACTATCAAAATACCAGTACATGAATGTCATAACAATAGGCTCTTAAAGTACTAAGTAGGCTCAACGGTCTATCAGATTTAAATTCATATTTCAATATTGATATTATTAGTGTTTAAGTAGCATTTTGAGGTTTGGGAGCGCAGGTATCTTTGTTGCATTAGTTTTTGTTTTTGTAAAATAACAGCATCTTTAATAAAGTACTTAAATCTTTGCACAAATTATGAAATAGAAATTTGTAGAAGTTATACTCAAGAGGAGACCTTCAGCAAATTGACTTAATTTACCTGAGCTTAAAAAAGCTGATATGTACATAGTGTTCATTGCAGCTCTACTGTATTTGTGAAGATTTGAAAGGTTTGTATTTTAGAGCATACATGAGCCGTAAGAATATTTAAAGTTGTATTTTGGATTTTTAGAGTGTACATTTTTTCTTTTCCTTTTCTACAACGTGAAAGAATACATCAATATAAATGAAAATTGCTTTGATCTTCCTGACTTTATCCGCTATGTGTGTCAAATATCAGAAATGACTTAATCTCCAAGGAAACCTTTTAAAAGATCACATTCTACATATTTGGTCCCGATGCTGCCCGTAAAAGTAAAACCAACAGATTTAGTAGTTTGTTGGAATTTATTTGAATAAATTACATTGACTTATGTTTCTTTTTTTTTTTTTTTTTTTACATCAAGCTTACATTTGTAGAATCCAGTGCAAGAATAAAATAAAACAGAAACAAAACAAAAACACAAAAACATTTCAAAGACAATCATGTGCAGCAATCATGTGAATCCCCCCTGCATCATCACTTCTGGGTAATATACTGCTTATATACACCTATACTTTATGTATATACTTTTGTCACAGTTACAAAAATAAGATACGTTACTGTAGATGCGAGACTATACACACACAAGGTGAAAACAAAACACAAAAAGCTGTACAGTCCTCATTGAGGGCAAAGATACACAGGATCTTTTAAAAAAAGTGAAAGAGAGAAAGAAGGTAATTTGCCTTAAATAAAAAAGACCTCCTCAAACTGTGTCACTACTCTTCTCAACCCAGCTAAGCAAACCGTCAGTTCAACATTGTGCTTCCCGCTGAAAAAAACAAACAGAACTAAACATGCCTCAGCTGATTTTGCATTAATTCTTATAGCTCTTTTGAGTGTAACAGATTTGCCATTTAATGTTTGATCTGCCAGAGACAGCACAGTACCACAGCTGCAAGGGTATTCAAAAAATAAAACGCAACAAAAGTCCTCTGTAAAGTATGGACATCCAGATTTGCACCTCTTCCTCGAAATCGCATGCACAACATTATAAAATGTGTGAAAACAAACAATATTGCTGCTGTGAAAACTTATTTGCAAAAGGTTTGATATGATACCGACGCAGAGAGAACAGAAGTGGGCACACTGATTAAAACATATAGCCTGGGTGGATTGAAGTTTTAGATTTTAAAGAAGTCCCCAGCACAGTCCCAAGTCAGAGTAACATCACAAGTGTGTATTATCTGGGGTCTGAAATGCGTTACAAAAGGTAATACAACAAATAATTGTGTGTATTACAACAAAGAAAATGGGTGTTAATTGGGAGTTGTATCATTTTCAATGAGTGATAAAAAAAAAAAAGAATCCACTAAAACGAAAACTACCTCTCAATCCACTCGGCCGTTTTGCACACTTTTTTGTCCACCTGATAGTGTTCACATCTAGCATAATCTACAGCTAAACTACAGAATATAAATAGGACCAGCAGGGATGCAGCAAACAGAGCTGCACCCACAGGTGCACAACAAACTGCCCCACTGAGCAGGCCTTCAAGTTACTGTGTCGAAATACATCAATCACATTTCATTGCCGTATAAAGCACACCTTGGAGGACTAAAACTTGTGCACCATAGTTTTATTACATCAATTAGAACAGTTTAAACTTCACAATTTATGTTTTTGCACACCATGTCATCACTGAACTGGCTCAGATATGTTACATTATACTTTGGAGAAGAGCCCCCCCCCAAACAATTGAAGACGGTGAGCCTCACCATGTTGCATCATGTAGATTTTCTGACACTGATCTGACTTTGGTATCTAAGTCTTATACAACATGATCATTTGCACATGTTGTGAAAAACAAACACACTGGAGTTAGCCTAATACTGGTTATCGGCTGTCAGACAGAATCTTTGGGGTATGATAGAGAAGTGGTTTCCTTAGCAACTGTCCGAACATGTCAAGAGACAACATCAAAAAGAGGAATATCCAAAACTACTCAGCTTAACATATTTCTATAACAAAAACGTTAGAATGCCAGAATACATGCTTGATCTACAGTCTCTAACAAACATGAATCACATGGACCGTTTTTTTGTCTACTGTTGTCAATGAGAGAAAGGTTTCTATCTACTGTAGAGATTTCTGAAGAAAAAAAAACAAAGATGAGAAAGTGTGAATTCGCTGTTCTGATAAACTCATGACGGACTGACAGCTAACTTAAACCAAGACAAAAGAGGTTAGGAGTGGCTGAAAGGACTACGGAAGCCTGAAGGTGCCTGTTGGGATAGGGAGAAGCAAATTTATCAATGCAGATTTTTCCTCATTTGGTGTGTACTCGCCCTCAGCTCCATCACGCTTGTTCACATCTTTTTTGTGTGTGTCGTTGCTCTTTTAACTCCTTTAAAGATGAGTGAAGGTAGTTGGAAGGACTGTTTAGGAAAAGGTTAGAAGGAATACAGGAACCGGAGGGCCACGGCGTGTCACAGACGCAGCTGGGAGTCTTGACATCTTAGTTGGGCAACGGCACCAGGATATCCACATAGTTGATGGGGAAAAAGCCCGAATTGCCATGCAGCATCCCCTCGTACCAGTTGTCATCAATCTTGTTGGTGAGGGTGATGATGTCGCCTTCCTTGAAGCCCAGCTCGCCTTCATTCTCAGGGTCAAAATCATACAGAGCACGGCAGCAAGGCTGGTCCAAGGGAGCTGGAGAGTTGAGGAGAGAAAACGAGAGAAAAAAACACTTAGAAGTGATTTCAAGAAGACATTAGATGCTGCATATCAATCATAATGGTCATATCAAAGGCTTACCTGGAGACCTGGCTGTAAAGGGGAATAAGAGAAGAAACAGAGCAAAAGAGATGCAAAATGTGACTGTTAGAGAACAGAAATTGTTTGAGAGAGAATCCAAATATTTTGGGTCATGTACTTCAGAATTGAGTTAGATGAGAGGACAAGTGGGAATTTAATTTCAGTTCTGTCACATTACTTTCAGTTGTGATTACACAGAAAATATGAATCAGACCTCTGCAAACCTCTGAGTGGAAGCATGGAAGCACTATTTAGGTTGAAGTTGGTTTTTCTAATTCGGAATCAGCTTATTACTGCCGTTTGTTAATGTAGCAAATCCTACAATATTACAACATCCAGCTGTCTGTTAAGATGTACAAAGTAAATCTGCCCAATAGGTCATGATTTTGCAGAGCAGGTGGGCATTGTTACAAAAGGAAAAAAACAGAAAGGGAGTTAGAACGCAGTGGTGGTTTTCGAACTGAAAAGACGGAAGGAGGATTCACCAATGCTTCTGACAAGATGATAACCACACACTGGCACTTAACAAAACTTGTTGTGTTAGCAGCAAATCAAACTTTTATAAGGACAGACTCTCAGCTCTGAGCAGTGGTCAGATATCCCCACAAAACTACTGTCGCCCCTTGCTAAAAGAAGAGGCATGGAAACATGCTGGAGTTCCACATATAAGGAGATCCTCTCATTTAACTCTCAACAAAATTGGCACATTTCCCCAAACTATTCCTTTAACAGTTGAACAAAAACAGTCAAAGGAGAAAACAAGGGTTAGAGACAGCACTGCACTGCAATAAACAAAAAGGCAGACAAAGAGACATGGATTTGAAAGTTCAAAGAAGAATGAAATAAGAGTGATATAGAGATTTGGCATCTCTTCCCCAGTCACTCTTGCTCACCTGGAGATCTTGCTGCAAAGAGGAGAGGAGAAAACAGTGGTGAAACAAAGAATTTTAGTCATTGCAATTCTAGATGGCAAGATGACGAAATTATGAGGAAAGGCAGGACAAAAACAAGGTCAGTCCTCAATGGTATGAAAAACGCAAGATGGGCACCGACTTGTAAGAGAAGTGGACGGACAATGAAACAGGAAAACGAGAAGAGAGCAAAACAGAAAGAGCAAATACTCGTCCGCTGCTGGGCTTTCAACCATCCTCATTTCTGATTTGATATTCTTTGTAAGATGAGCGAACGGCACTTGATTTTCTGCTTTTGGTTTGTAATATTTAAGAGTAATAACTTCTCCATGAAAAATAGAAAGATATCACTCTTGTCTCACCTGGAGACCTTGCTGCAAACGGGGAGTGGGAAGACAACACAAGGAGGGCAGGGGGGAGGGAGTGGTGGAGGGAAAAGGGGAGGGGAGGAGGGGTAGAAGTACCTCTGAGTTTACAGTGAGAATGAAAAAGATGTCATTGAAAAAATGAGGTGATGAGTACGCTGATGGGAAAACAAGTTTGACCTCACCTGGAGACCTTGCACCTACGAGAATAACAAAAATCATATTGGGAAAGAGAAGAGTGCAGAATTGGATTTAATTATTATGGACTGTTGGATGACTGCTAAAGATTCTTGGATAAAAATCTGTAGAAAAAAAAAGAAATTAGCAGGCTGTAAATTCTCAAGCGTATTTGATTGCTGACAAGTGCAATCCATACCCTATTTTTTATAGAGTTTTCTATATATCAGATCGTGTTTCTCCTTGCTGGAAAAAGAACAATATAATACTTTTAAGCATTGTAATATATTTGCTTTATCTACTTGAGAATTTACAGTAAAAATCCAACAGAGGGTTAAAAGAAAGAGAAAAAAAACATGAAATAATAGAAACTAGTCCAGAAACTTTCCCTTGTAGGTACCTTGCGCAAACATCTAAGATTTCTCTGTGACCACATGAGCTGACAGTTCATTGTTTGCCTGATGATAGAACATTGTGTGCACACCAGCGGGACAAGTTACTGGACGTTTCTGAAAAGAGAGAAGTGCATCCTGGCTCTCACCTGGAGAGCGAGCACCATGCATGCCTCCATTGTGGTTCTCGCTGATGGAGAAGTCCAGGGACGTACGCGGTTTCGGCGCGTACTCTTTCCTCGGTTTATTAGAGGTGTCCCTTATCCTGCAAAGATTTACACCAAAAAAACCAAAGGACAGGGACTCTCTCAGCCATTTTCAAAGTGCAACATGAGTAATAAATCAAACACGTATTCCTCAGCGAACCACAAACATAACCTTCCATGTCGCTGAGCACATCTAGCTTTGACAGCTTAAGCAGAGAGCCCATCAGTACTGACCGCTCGTCGATCTTGCTGGAGAGCTGTGTGAGGATCTCAGCAGCCCGGGAGTGATACTCCACCTGAGCGTGGACTAACGCAGCCAGCTGGCTCACCTGTTCAATCTGTTTAACCCAAAAAAGACGACACATCAACATCTCAACTCATGCAAAATAACCACAACCATGTAAGCATGTTGGTTCTAAGGGTAATCACCACGGGGCATATAGACATGCAATGGAAATAAAAGAGATTTGGCCCCAAATGATTTTCATGTGTTGTAATTTTCCTCAAATTTCAGTGTCATTCAGTGAAGACGATCTTCCTAAAAAAATTTTAATTGAATCCCTGCAGTGAGAATCTTCAGTGGCTGAAAAAAAAAAAAGCCGGGTTCAGTCACCTCTGCTATCTGTCACTGTTACCTCTACAGTTGCCATGGTTACTAGTCTGAATGCATCTACTCTGAAGTGAATTGCCTTGGAGGCAGAACCGAAGGACAGCAAAGAGGAAAGAGGAATGACCTCAAGTCATTCAAGGTTTACAGGTCCCACTTAAGAAATTGTGAATCGCAATGTTTTTGGCCATTGAGTCAGAAGCTAGCAACAGAGAGTTGAGTATTGCGAGATGTTTAACTATCAGTTCGAATAGATGTCTTCTCTGTACTTTCTGTAGGCTTTTATAGTATAAAATACACTGCAGAAAATCCAATAATAAATTGAAACTATTGTCAAGAATAAACTGTGATCTGGAGGGAAATCTGAGTAACGGTCATATAAACACATTGAAGAAGGCGTGTCCCATCAACCATTCATTTAGTGTTACTATAGATGCTTTTCATTTGCATTCATTATAATGTTTTGCTTCAGATGGCAGCTGAAGATTTAATTCAAATACAATTCAGCTGTTACGATTACAATATATATCACAAACATTAATCTGAAAACCTGTCATGAGTGGATGCATATAAGAGCGCAGAGTAGAATGATATAATAGATATATATTATAAGTTTAGCTATTTCATGAATCCAAGAAATAACAAGTGGGACAAGGGAGGAAATCTGATCCTTACGTCACTCTCCAACAGGTTGAACATGCTCTGCTCGGCAATCTCCTTGGAGTCATCAAATTTCTCCAGTGCTTGTTTGATCTCGTCTTCTGTCACTTTGCCCTGACGTTTTTTCTTATAGTCGAAGTCCAGACGTCGACCCTCCATTTTCTTCAGGTGGTGCTGCAGAAGACAACTTTATGGTTGATATACATTTTTGTCTCATTGATTATTAGCTGTTCGTCTTTAGATGTCTTTGAGGAGGATGAAATGTTTGCACTCCTACTTGAATTTCCTTGAGATCTTTTTCATGGAGGTTCTGCAGTGGATCGATGAAGTTCTGCTTCACCTCCATGTCCAGAGCATCCTTGACTTCACTCAATTCACGCATGGCTTCCCCAGCATCGATCAGGGCAACCCCTGGAAAAACAACAAACCTCTAAAACGCTGTCTTCTGTGACATAAGCCACTTGAAAAAGTGAGAGACAAGCTCATCCATTTTACATGACACTGAAGGAACAAAATGTTGCTTCTTTGTTCTTGTAGACGTTACTTGCTTAAACTCACCGAAGTTGGAATCTTCTCCGAGCTCCCTGCCATACCTCTGCATGGCCTCCCCCAGGAGAGTTTCAGTCTGTGTGTAGCCTGGTCCCTTTTCCTGGCCCCGCATGCGAGACATGGAATTTATCATGCTCATTTTGGCTCTGGTGGCTGAAAAGACAAAAAAAAAAGATTAAAAAAATGTAATCCATGTCCTTGTGATTATAGGACACCAAAGAGACAAAGGAATCAAATATAACCAACATTCAATTTTTGTGCCTTCAAATTTGTTTTCCTTAAACAGGTGCTGTTGTAAAAAATTGGAGACACATTTCAACTTTTGCTTTTAGTGTCTTAGTCTGGAAGCATGTTATCGGAGTGGTTAACTCATCATCAATTTACCCTACATGAAGAATAGAAATAAATCATCACCTATCAGGCTGTTTATCACTTTAATCCTGCTGGTTATACTGTGTTACATTGACATTTTCACATCACTACAAAGAAAAGCGTAGAATAGGCATGCAAAAACATGTTAAAAGATCTGTCTTTATTCTAAGCCGGTCCCATTTTAGTTTCACAGGCTTTCAATCACAGCTCACTGGAACCGATTTCTCTACACGGAAGGATTCTGTAAAGTGATGTCAGCATGTCAAATTATCCCTTAATAATCTGTGTCCTGACACAGTGACAAGTAGGTTATCATCCAGGGCTAATTTTGAAATGCTGAAACAGTACAGCTGTAGGGAGTGTTTTGGCCACCCCACAGCAAGTCATAAAATGCTGTGTAAATGTTTTAAGTGAGATGAAATACAGGCTGCAAATGGGTGTCTGTAAGATTTAGGGCTTGAGATGTTAATGCATCTTTTATGAGTTAGACAGAAAGCAGAAATTGTGGCATGCGTAAGAGTGCCCTGTAGGCAAAGACTCATATGTAATCAGTTAGATGGCAGTTCAGGTATTACGAATCCCACGATTCTTCAGATATAATAGAAACCCTCAACAATCCCCGGGGTCTAAAGATATAGCTGAGATTGAGCAGGAAGAGGAAGAAGTCTGATGGTCAATGTTTGTAGGCCTGAAACATCAAAGTTGATGGAAGAGAGTGTTGAGTGAAAGACCTTATCACAAAAGTCAAACACTGAAATTCAAACTGAACTCTGTGACATGGAGTAGAAAACACAACACTGCAAGCAGCAAGCGAAGGATAAATGTGTCTTAATGACAGCAGATCCTGCAAGCAAATATCCTGCAGTCAATCAAGTGAAGCAAAAAGGCTCCAACATCATATTATCTGAACCACACCTGAAAAATAAACACAACCGCAAACGTTTGGATTCACTTTCACAGAGCTCTGGATGCTCCTCAAATGTGAGGGAACACAGCAGAAACTATACAAATGTGAGGAACACATGAAATCTTTGGAGTTGAAGAAGAATTTGGATTCTCAAAAGAAATAAGAAATTTGGCAAACCAAACTGGTTCAGATTCTAAACCGGATGCAAAAAAGCAAATACAGGGGGGATAGCAAAGGATTTGACTTTTTATAAGGGGAAACAATACAAATATTTTAAATCATACCAAATAAGAAAAAAAAACAACAACAAATAAACACTTTTAATCCACATTAATCAGGAAAACACATTGAGTGACCCTCCTTCTGTTACCTGGGTTTGGCTGCAGGTACTCCGTGGTCTTGGTCATTATGTCCAGCACTGCTCGGGCAGTGGTGTCCACCCTCTGTCAACCCAAAAAAGACACCACATATTGGGAGACAGATACAGACAGTACATGAATAAAAGGTCAGAAGTGCTAAACTATTTAATGAAAGAAAGTGGGTCTTATTGTTGTACACGGTAACACAATTAAACCAGAATTATATCTACTGCTTAGAATTTTTCAGAGAATAAATAGATTATATAATAAACATTCTTTGAAAACATGTCAAATGGTAAAACCTTAACACAATATTTTGGAGTTTTTTTATGGAGATTTTTCTCTTTTCTATGACACATTAGCTTAATATATGATTCAATGAAAACCGTTTACACCTCACAGTGCTAGATTTCATCATTCAGTGCAACAGTAAGAAAAAACCCTGCAACTCATTTAGGAGTATGACAATTTGAAATGAACAGATTTTTCACGTGCCTTTTCCATTTCAGTGAAGTCCACATCGAGCTTTGTTCCTTCAGCTCCTCCGACCTTCTCACTCACTCTCTGCAAAACAAACATACAAAAAAGGCATTTAATCAGAATTGACAAATTCTGAACATATAATGCATTCCAAACTGAACAGCGAAAAATTATTTTAAAAATTTTCAATGCTGATATGATATGTATAAAAAACAAAAACGAAAAACAGCCAAATTCTTTCCCGGCCAGCCAGAAGATGGTGTTAAAACATTAAATGAACATTTTACCAAGGGCTAAAATGTGTTTGTTACAAACTGAGTACGTATGTGCATCCAACAAGCTGTAAGAGTTGGACTCTAAAGCTGCAGACATGGCACAGATCCACATTCTCAGACATCAAACCAGAAATAACTGTGTGCTGACAGTAATTCCAGACTTCAGAGTGTGATATAACCGGAGGCCTTGAGGGGGCAGCAATCGGACACAACAAGGCCAGACACAGGCTTTCGGGGAATGTCACTCCATGTGACTGAAAAAAAAATCCTGACAGCCGAGGTCAGCGGGGGAGATCTTTCCTTAGGTTAAAATAACACACAATAAACAAAAAAACTGTCTGTGTCTTAGGAGTGTAAAAATCAAGAGGTTATGTTTTCCTCACTGGAAAACCTGAATAAATTGGGGGAAAAGTGAGATGTATTTTTCAGGCTGCGAAATGCGGAGGGCTGATCTGTGATGGGCAGAGCAGTGGCCTGTTCAAGACGAAGGCTGGGGTTTATGCAGCGTAAGACTTTCTGAGGATCGCTCCTCTGTGAGTCATCCATGATCCCACTTGTGAAGCAGCTTAATATTCTGACAGCGATGCAAAACTCACGCAGATGCGCATATGCACCGTAGCAGCACGCCACACTTCATGTCATCCATCCCCCCCTGGCCATCACTGCCCGGAGCTAGTTGCCATGGAAACAAGTACAGGTGTTGTGTCTATTTCTCTCATATGTTGTGTCTTTAAAAAAAAAAAAAAAATCAGACCTGATAGACAAGTAAGCTTCAGAATGGGTCCATCTCTGTCAGGGACAAACTCAGCCTGTATGATGCAGAGCTGGTTGTCAGATGTAGGGCTGTGTGTTGTACATGAGCTACAGAACAGCCACAAGTAGAATTCAAACAGGCCTTTTAATTACACACTGAACTATTCTATTCCAGATTCTTCCACGTATCAGTTGAAATGATGGGAGGGAACAGATAAGAGTCCATGTTTTACACAGGGGTGAAGATTCCTTGTTAAATGTTACTTTCAGCCAAAGCCAGATCTCCACACACACCGACTTAATGAGTCATCTGAGCTGACAATGCTGTCAAAGTTGCTAAGAGAGGACAGCCTCAAAAGGAGTATCATGCTGATGTGGAGGATCCCAATTATTAATTTAACACGCAGACAGTGGTTTCTTAATTGCTGCTTAACTATTACTTTCCACAGACCTAATGACCTGATTAAATTGGAATCCATCGAAGGGAACATTTAAAAAAAAGAAGAAAATGTCTTGTTTTCTGCCCTTTCTTTTTCTTATTGCCTGACCCTGAAATCTCACACTGATAAGCTCTTGCACAACACTCTCAGTGGGGAGAAGTTAATCCTTTTTCATTTTATTTTTAGGATTTCACAACTGAGACAAGACCAGAGGCCTTTCTGTGTGGATTTTAATGCTCTCCTCACATCTGTGTGTGTTCCCTCTGGGTACTCTGGCTTCCTCCCACCGTCCAAAAACATGCATGCTAGGTCAATTGAACACTCTGAATTGCAGTTAAAGTAAGTGTTTGTGGTTGTTCATCTCTATGTGGCCCTGTGATGAACTGGTGTCCTGTCCAAGAACCCAATGACTGCCGGGAGAGGCTCCAGCCTCCCCATCCCTACTAGGAATAAGCAGTATGGACACTTAAAATAATCAAAAACACAATAATTTTACAGTTTGCCAGCAGGAGTCAGAAATGTAAGCTATAAAAAATTAAAATGCTTTTTTTTGTTCCTCTTTATTGAGGCCACAATAATGAGGAAAAATTCTAGGCGGAGTATTACTGCACAATATGAACAGGGACAAGATGTTTTAGTCCCATAAGCTTTCTTTACTCCAAGCAGTATCGTACTACATTTAAACTCGCATATTAAGTGACCGTAGTGTTGCCTCAAAGCGAGAGCAGAATCCTGAGTTCACTGGCTGTGAAACCAATGATGATTTAGCTTTTTAAAATGGATTAACATATTCAAACTATAACTTAGAAATAGAGAAAATAACAAGATTGTACTATTTTCTTAATTTCATTTAATTAAATGTTATGTTCCAGCAATGCAATTTTGATAATACTACAAGGATGGAATGTGAACACATCAGATTTTTGGTTAAAGATATAAACATCCATATTAAATGTTGCACTGAGTGGTATAAACCTCCCACCTAAATAAAAAAAATAAAAAAGCTTTCACATTCAAATTCTACAATGTATTATCTGTGTGTCTGGAATGAATGAATGAAGCAGATTCTGAGGGGATCTGCATATTTTGTGAGTTTCCAACAGACGCGACTGAATGAACGCGAGCACAAATGAGCTGTTGGTGGGTGTTCGAGTGGAGCCAGGCTGCTGTGTGCAGGCCGCTGCTGCCCGTGGCTGCGGTCAGCGCACACTCAACCAACGGCAGATACGTCCAGAGAGAAGAGCAAAGTCAGTCCCGACAGAGCTTTGATGGCCGCACGCTGAGGAGACGGAGATTACGCACAGTGACCGGAGGACCGTCCATGCCTGGATGCCCTCACTATACAGCATGCCATAACCATTAAGAAAAAGAGGAGATGACACATGCTGCTACCACCAGTGACCTACTGGACACGTTATGTAAATGTGACACAAGCTGATTTCAGCTGAGGGGCAGGGGAACCAGCGACCCAAAACCTCACAGACAACCTGAAGTGTCACGGTAACAGACAAATCTCTTTTGGTTCTTTTAATATGTTTCAGCCGAGCGATCTGTTTCTTTTTCCGTTTTCCACCCATCACCCTCTCTAAGCTCTCCAACTCCCCTCTCTCACTCCCCCTGCAGGGGGAGGACATGACAAGGTGAACTGAGCAGCGGCGGCGGTGGCAGTGTGCAGTGGACCGCACAGAAATCTATAAAAACGCACATCTGGCTGATGGGGAGTAACGGCCGTGGCGTAGAATAGATGATGCATAAGCTGTGATGTCAAAGCTTGCAGCAACCCACCAATGACACCACTACACCCAGAGCACGGGCATGACGCTGCTTTTTAATACCAAGGGACAAAATATTATTTCATAGCGTGGCCTCGGCTCCTCTCACAGCACCGCACGCAATGTTTTCCCGCATATGTTCGGAACAAACATCATGCGGCTGGATAGAATTAATCGTGATGCTGGTGCTTTAAAAAGTCTTGCCTGTACGTGAGGAGATTGAGTGCGCTGTGACAAACAGGACAAATCACACATGATTGTTTGTGCTGTTCGCTGCTACACAAATGATCTAGAGTGCTTGGAGTGGTAAGCAGCAATTCTTTTTTTTGTGTGTTTTTGATGCCATCTTTAATGCCATCTTTATTCCAAATGTATGGACTGCATCCTCAAAGTCCAACTGCTTCTAAAAAAACCTATGAAAAGATCAAAGTGCAAAAAAATCTAAAAGTCATACACCGTGTGTGGGCTTGTATATGTGTTTGAAATGCATTAAGTAGAAAAAAACAAAAAAAAGAATAAGATTTTAAATAAAATTTACACAACCACTAAAAAATAAGAAAAAACTTAGGCCTGGCTCACTTAAGGCTTAGACTAATACCCATGCAAACCAAACTGGTTCAGATTAGATTTGCTAAATGTGGAGAGGAAAACAGCCCAAAGGTATTCCCAAAAGCTGACGAAAGCTGTGTCCTCACATGCTCTCACACACACCCTTCAGTGAAAAATAAATAAGTTGAAATCAAAACTAGAGGAGTAGTAACATGTAACATTATATAATTTAACCAAAAGTGAACTAAATGGAAATAATGAGGTCCGAGCAACTTCCTCATAAGTATATTCACTGATATTACTTATTTTTAACTTTCTAAAGGATGCCACTCTGTGCTGACTTAATATTTTTTTAATTACTCAGCAAAAACTAAATGAAAACATCCATCATATATCCTGAGTGATTGTGACAGTGCGTGGTTGTCTATCTCCTTCTTCTCTATGTGGCACTTTGACAGCCTGTCCAGGGAGGACCCCGCCTCACACGACGCCACGTGGGACAGACTCCATTTTTTTATGGTGCTTCCGTAAAACAAAACAACAGCATACAAAAGTATTTGACTCTGCTTTGCCATATTACCAAGATATATGTCTAACTGATGGTAATTGATGTGTCCTGCTTGGTAAAGGGAGCAGTCAATGCAGATTAATGAAGACACTTTTGGAAAACACAGCAGGGGTGTTTAAATAGCAGGGCCTTTACACCTATGTTAGACATGCACAGCTAATACAATTAAAAGGCTCACACTCCCTGACACAGAAAGCTTCTGCTGCTGCTCTTAAACGGAAGGCTCGGATTAGACTCCCCCCCCCTCTACAGAACACGCTGTGGTCGGTACTGTACGGGTCCTGATGTCAGCCTCTGCAACTCCATGTTTCTACACATGCTTTTCAGTTTCTCTGGCTTAACACTGCTTAAGGACAAGCTTTTTTATATTATTTTCAATGATTGTCCCAAGGTTCATCTCCAAGCATTTTAACACTGTAGACAAATAGTGAGGAGCTGGTTCTAACTGTCACCTGTCACTGTGTGTCAACACTTCGGAGATGTGGTTTGTGAGGCTTGTGGACAGGATGAATGGGGTGTTGCCACAGGGGTTTAGCCAATCACAGTGCATGATGTATGACAGGAAGAAATGATAGTTGGAAATCTAGTGGTGATTCTACAAACCCGAAGCATGACATGCATGATGAATGAATAACTGTCAACGTACTGAGATAAATGCGGTTAAAGATTAAAACCCAGAACTATTAGATTTTTACGAGTTGTCATGTCATGACAAATTCAATTCCCA